GTTCCTCGCTTTCTCCCTCGTTGCACTCAAGGTTCTTGGTCTGAAAAATAAAAATTCTCGCGCCGAAGGGGTCAACCAGCCCAGTTCAGCTCGTCGCCACCTGCTCCCTCCTCCTTTGATGGCGAAGGGGAGATACCCCCCTTTAAAAAAAAAGTGGCCTTTAATACCCGGGTGGCCTTTAATACCCGCCGCTACTCTAAGGCACGGGACTCCTCTCGTCCACCACATCTGTGGGCTGTGGCACTGTCGAGCAGTGTGGCTGCTTTGTTGAGCTTGCGCTGTGAAGTGAACAGCACAGTTTCCTGGGATTTTTCACCAAATCTATACCGGGACGTATCGTCTTCCCGATTCTTATTGTACTGAACCCGGAGTAGCCTTAAATTGTTTCTCGTCCGTGAAATCTTCGCGGTCCTCCTGTAGAAGGAAGGGCAACTAATTCCTAATTCCTATTTCCATTAGTCAAACGAAGAGGACGCATCATAATACGCACCACCACCACCACCAGTAGAATAACGAACAGCAGCAGCAGTATGAGCAGTAGGAGTAGATCCATACCCGGCTTGACTCCGCGCCTCGTCGCGTACCTCCGTTGGGGGGGTGTCCCTTATTATGTAAGCGGGTGCAATGGGCATGCCCTCGCCGCGTGTATGTAGCTCTTGCAAGAATAAAAAAAAAATACTACGGACGAACAATTAACTCCAGATAGTGTGGATCCCTGTTCATTGCACCAACCAACATACCTACCACCTGTTTTCAGGGTCTTTCCAAACACCGGCCGTTTTTCCTAGGCTTATACCTGATATGCGGGCATTGTTTTCGACATAAACGGCCTTGGCGCGCATAGGCAAACGCATAATGTCGACCGTGCATACTATTCTTTTTTGGCGCATAATGTCGCGCATATATGGGGATACTGTGCATAAACGTGGTTATGCCTGCTTCATTTTGAGGATAGGGGTGCATCAGGAGTGGGTTTAGGTACCTCCTGTGGCACCAGCAACCAGCAACTTGAACAACAACGAACGCTTACTGCTTAACTGAGCAACATTATCCTTAAACATAGCCCATATTATTATTCACTCATTTAGAGAGGAAGGAGCGGCGCTTGTTTAAGGCGAGCTCTGGGCTCTGAGTCTTTGAGTTGTGAGGTGTGACTAGGTAGGTAAGTCCTAAAGTCTTGTAATTAATCAGCGGATCAGCGGCGGGTTTTCGGGTTTTTGAGTTTTTGACAAAAAAAATTACGCGCAGCACAACAGCACAACAGACGGCAGACACCCACAGACCACCACACCACCGACCAAAGACCACCGCACAGCACCCAGCACAACTAGTGAAGGCAGACCGCTATCCGCGATCTTCGATCTTCACCAATGGCAAGCGCCGCATCGGCTCTTGTGGCGTATGCTGGTAGTAGCTCGGATGATGACGAACCACCACCAAAACGCCGCACGGCACCAGCAGCCGCTTCCGGTGCTTCGTCAGGACAGGCCGCGAGGCAAACGAGTATCTCAGGGTTCTTCCGGCTCCCACAACCAACTCCACAGCAGCAGAAGGCGAAGCAGAAGAGAGACGAAACGCGGAATCGAGAGGCCCTAGAAACTATGGCCAATCCCACCGCGCCAGAGAGGGCAGCTCACATCGACAAGACACGAGTCATCAGGAGCAACAGAGCCGAGAGGGACAAGTGGCAGCGGGAGGAAGAGGAGGACGAGGAGGAGGACGAGGACGGGGAGGAGGAGGAAGAGGATCTGGAGAAGCGGTGGCAGAAGCAGAGGGAGAGGGAAGAGCGGAATGACGCCAGGAAGAAGAAAAGGCGCGGCCCGAAACAAGGGTTTCATGTCACATCGGGCCGTTGCAAAACTGTGACTGCCGTCGACCGCGTCAAGGAGTTTCCCAACCAGACGCTGATCGCAGAAAACGGCAAACTCTTCTGCGAGGCCTGCAGCCGTAAGCCCTTAGCCAAGATCAAGAGCACCGTCAAAAAGCATGTCAACGGCAGGAAGCACATGGAGGCCGTCAAGAAGCACCAGAAGTCGAAGAAGTTGCAGCAGGTGAGCGGCGGGGGTGGGGGGTGGGGGTGGGAGTGGGATAGTGGGATCAAAATTTTGATCTTCCACTATACAAAATGCAAGTATGAGGAGGTTCCTTTTTTTTTGTTCGGTGGTGTACGGTGTAGTGTGTTGCGGCGTTCCGGCGCTGTGTGCTCTGCACTGATTCGAAACAGCTGTTGAGTACTCTGTATCTTGGATTTTGGTGTGTTCAACAGCAGTAGTTCATAGTTCAACCGCCCCGCTTCCCAGACCACTACAGCAGTAGTTTTATTTTTTTAGGGCACACTACACATGATCTAAAGACGACCCATACACATACCAATACGGAGACCCGAGGAGCGCCTTTTTGCTTTTTGAACGGCGGAGGTATGTTTCGCTTTGGTCCCGCGGTCTTGCATATACATATTATATATTGCTGTTGGCACAGCGCACGAATTTCACTAGTGTACGATGCATGGACGACCAACGACCAAGCTACGCCGATCAAACAAGCACAACAACTAGTGAGCCCACGTTGACATTTGCACTTCGTCCACGCACGAATGTCCTCCTTTGCAGGCCTCCATGGACGTATTCCGGGAACATTCCGCCTCGGTGGGAGGCGCCTATGGGTCCACCCTCACCCCGAAAGAAGTCACACAGCAAATCCTGTTCACGAAGGGGTGCCTCTCAGCTGGTGTCCCTTTGAACGCCCTGAACAACCCCACCATGAAGGACGCCCTTCACTTCGCCGGCGTGAAGCTGCCGTCAGCGAACCACCTTGCGAACTACATCCCGGTCATCTTGAAAGAAGAGGTAAGGAAAATGTGACGTTCATGGGAAGGAGCTAGAGGGCGGAGGTGGGTGAAGCTTGGCGACGGCACCTACACGGTGTGCTTCGACGGAACCCCGTATCGCTGCGAGTGCTTCGGCATTGGTATCCGGTTCATCGGCCCGGACGGACAGGTGGGAGGTGGCTAGTGGGAGGTGGAAGGGAGGAGAGACTCAAACACTAGCTGTACAGGCATGCAGGGACAGCGCTTTTTGGTGGTCGACATGTTGCCCGATTGTGGGCGGTCATCCGTCATCCATCGCGAGCTTGTTTCATTTTCATTAAGGGGCGGAAGAGAGCATCATAGTTCATACGTCATACATCATTGTTTCATCGTTTTTCCTTTTTCCTCTCTGCTTCTCTGGGTATGTTCATTGTCGGTTGGGCAGATATGTCAACGGCTCCTGGGGCTGAGCATGCTGGCCAACAGCATGGACTACAAGGCCATCTTCGGCGAGCTCAACAAGGTCGTGTTCATGGAGTACAAGCTGCGGCCCGAGCGCTGCCGTGGCTTCATGCTCGACGGGTGCTCCCCCAACCTGAAAGCCCTCGTGGCGCTGACGACGCACTGCGCCAACTCTGTGGGCATTCGCTGCGCGTCCCACCTTCTGAACCTCTCCGGCAACCAGATGGAAAGCAGCCAGATCGACAAGTTCGCCGGCGCCCTTCAGACGGTCCTCTCCCACAGCCACAACGCTGCGGACCAGTGGCGGAAGGCGACCGGCACGACGCCCCCGAAAGCCCCCAACCACCGTTGGGGTTCGGCCTACGAGCGGAACAACCTGCTGGTGACGAATTGGCAGCAGATGAAGACCTTCATCGACGACTTCAGCAGCAGCGACGAGACCAGGTCGCGAAAGGCCGACTTCTGCCGGCGTGAGCTTGCCAGGTTCGGGAAGCACGGGTACCACCAAGAGGTCTGGCTGCAGATCGAGTTCGCGGTCGCTGTGGACCTCGGGAAGCACCTCACGAACGGGACGTATCTGCTCGAGGGAGATGGCATGCTGGTGAGATGTGCTGTTCGTATTTTGTTTTGTTTTTCCTCGCCCCTCGCCCCTGTAACACTGCTGCACTGCTGGTGCTGTAGCATTTTTGTACGATGACTGGTGTTATTTCTGCTGATCCTGCTGCATTTTTGTACCATGACCGGTATTACTGGTCTTGCGGGTCTGCAGCATTTTTTTACGATGGCTGATGGCTGGTGTATTTTTTCCTTCGGAAGACCCTTCGTCTAATGTTAGCCGCCTTCCGCCTTCCGCCTTGATTTTCTTGGTTCTTTCCCCTTCTTCCGTGCCTCGTTATTTTAAACAGCTTCCTGTGGCGTATGAGGTCATCCTCAGGGTGCGGGCGGGGCTTGCCCTCACGCGAATGGCGGACGGCTCCTTTGACAGGCCGCATCTCCCTAATGTCGATGCGCTCATCCGAGAGTACACCAAGGGCGACGTAAGTGTATCGTCGTTTGGAAGAAAGCAAAGAAGTAAAGTTTTCGGGGGGCGTGGATTTGTGGTACGCTACGCTCTACGCTCTACGCTGCACTGCACGCGTATAGCGCATAGACAGCAGTGTTTATCAAACATCAACTTGAGGGCTTACTCTTACTCGACTGCCCTTCTGCCCTACCCCCCCCCCATGCCCCCCGGTGTGTATGCTTGTCGGATTTATGTAGGCTGCGATGGCCGCCAAGTTGGAGGACCAAGTGCGCCATGACATTCTCCCCGTGCAGACGTACACCTGGGAGAGGATCGGGGACCACCCCGATGCGCAGCAACACGAGACTATCGCCATCTTCGAGGCTGCACGGCTCCTTGACTTCCGCTACGTGAAGCAGCATCAGTTGCATGTTGCTGACATCGACCTCCTTTGTCGCTTCCCCTTCGTTACGGAAAATGATGTCGCGAGACTAAAAGATCAGATGGACGATTACAATATCGCCGCCTCTGGAGTTGATACCGGCTACGACTTGTGGTCATTCTGGCATGACAACAGGCACAAGAGTAGCCTTTGTCACTGGTATGGAGTTGCGAAGGACATCGTTTTGCTCCAACCGTCCTCTGCCTTCATGGAACGTGTCTTTTCCATCCTGCGTGCTTGTATGGATGCTAGGCAGGAGAAGAGCTTTAGTGACCGCGTGGCAGCGTCCGCTCTTCTTAAGTACAACAGAGGCCGGGGAAAATAGGAATAGGGCGTGCTAAGAGCTGGGTGTAACCTGTAACCACGGTGTCTGGTTAGGTCGTTAGGTCTGGTGTCTGGCGCTGTCTGTTCGTGTGGTGTCGCTGTACGCTTGTTTTTCTGTTTGTTTTTCTGCGATATCACGTATCACGGATCACGGATCACGGTGAAGAAATCAGAATAACACAGAGCACAGAATCGACAACCAGCAAGACCACGTGTTTCAATGTGTCGGGAAAGACAGAGGCACGTGCGTACCTCGCGCAGTGACCCTCAACGTCATGTAAAAGCAACACCGTCGGCAGAAAGCGCGTGCATAAGTACACACATAAAACTGGAAAACAAGCATAACTGCGTGCATAATTCGCTGCTGTAAGCACATGCTCAGCCAGAAAAATCCGCATAAAAAAAAAAAAAATCCGCATATCAGGTATAAGCCAACATGTCACCAGAAAAAAAAAAACTCTGCGGCTATCGACGTATCTCGACGAGGCGGTCACGACCATCGTTGTTTCACGTTCCAATTTCTTTTCAAAAAAAAGTTATCGCACAAAAAGTGATTGGACAAATTGTTGTGCACGGACCATACGCAGCTGTCATCCGTACGCAAGGAAATAAGCACAAGATGCCGAACACCCTTGGCAGGATGCAGCGCACCCTTCATGCGACTCGCCGAATATTTCACGGCGCTTCGCGCTTGGTGATGTGAGAGCCTGGTCCGGTGAGAACCCGTCNGACAAATTGTTGTGCACGGACCATACGCAGCTGTCATCCGTACGCAAGGAAATAAGCACAAGATGCCGAACACGCTTAGCAGGATGCAGCGCACCCTTCATGCGACTCGCCGAATATCTCACGACGCTTCGCGCTTGGTGATGTGAGAGCCTGGTCCGGCGAGAACCCGGCGTGCTCACTCCCGGCCTTGCAGGGATGCGAGGTCAATGGTCTAACGACTACGGCATACACGACTATGAGTACANCAGACCAACTTTTACAGTTCGACTGCTCTTGCTGACGCGGGGTGCGGAAAGATCCCGTAACGTCTACGGAAAACCCTCGACAGGATGTTTCCAAAACCACCGTTGCTGGTGTTGGCGCAAGCAAAGCTTGTGCTGTGGAGTAGTCGAGCCTCGAAAGTAGGTCTAGAGGGCGTATGCCATCTCCCCGCCTTTTTACGGTACTCCACGACGAAGAGGATGCCACAACATGAACCGATGGTATGCATGCAAGTACACCCGTTTTCGAAAAGCTTTTGTGAGACGTTTCCCTCACCACCGTTGCTCAACACCGTCACAAATAGTGCTTGTGCTGCAGAGTAACCAGGCCTTGGAAATCGGTCCAGGGGGTGCGGGCTAACGGAAAGCAAGGGTTTTGCTCGGTGGCGGTCTACTCGTTTTTCATGTTGCCCCGCGGAACATAAAAAGACAGTTGGGGGGGGGGGGGGGGNGGGGGGGGGGGGGGGGGGGGGGGGGGGGAGGGGTATGTTCATAACCGTGCATGCTGTAGGCGTCAGACCATTGACCTCGTACCCCTACAATGCCGGGATGGAGCCTTATGTATGCGGTGTGTTCGCTGGCCCAGGCTACGTTGGTACTCATATTCATGTACACGCATGACGTGATCGTTAGACCGTTGACCTCGCACCCTTACAAAGCCGGATGTAACACGCCGGGCTTTCACCGGGCAAAGGGGACTCTTCATATTCTAGTGTACCATTTTTAGGGCAAGGTAGCCTGTGACCACGGGAATCGACTGCGTCAAGCGTTAAGACACAATTAAAACAGATAGATGACGGTACTGGGTAGAGAGATCAGAACGGTTTGCTAGAGTAGTGCGGACAGATGAAGCTCCTGGATAGAGAGATCAGAACTGGTTGTTAGACAAGTACGGACAGATGAAGGTACTCGGTAGAACGATCGAAACGGTTCTTATTGTGAAGACGAGAACAGCAAGAGGGACTCTTTGCTTGGAGAAAAAAACGCGATTGCTCACACATCCGGGACTTCTGAAACGCCGACGACGGCGACGACGACGACAAAAAACGTACATGATGAAGACACCCCCTGGGCCGATTTTCAATGCTCGATTACTCCACGACGAAGGGGATACCGAAACTGAAGTACACGTTCTCGGATAGCTCACAACCAAACGGCGGTTTCAACGCCGCCGTTTTCGGCGCTACAACTCTTTTCTGCTGTTGATATATCGAGCTTCGAAAATCGGTCCAGGGTGGGTGTTACCTTGTGTCACACGGGACTGCCCACGCAGGATATTAAAAGAGTGTCTAGCAAAACATAGGGAGGGGGCACGCAGACCCTATCCCTGACCCTAACCCTAACCCCAAAGCACGGATTGAATACTCTATCCCATATGGTTTTCTCAATTTTGCTGCGCAGACTACTGGTCATGCGGAAACCAATACCGCCATCGAACTTTGAACACGACGATTCTCATGTCAACGGGACGGTCAACACCCAACGACGGCGACCACGGCCCACGGCAACAACAAAAATGACGGCGACGACAACATAACACCAATACAGCAGTGCGGTCTAAGATATATTGAGTATTGTTTTGAACATCATCCGATTTCGGACAGCAGTGTGTGTGGCTTGTCCCGAACATGAGTATTTGCCAATATTACACAGCCAGAGACCGTAGCCACTAATTTCCGACACGAGCAACACTGACGACGACAACGCCAGCAGCAGCACCAACATGACGGCGACCACAATATAACGCCAATACAGCAGTGCGGTTGAAAGAGAGATCAATTAGAAACTCGGAGTTAAAAGAGTGTTCTTGGAGTGATCCGACCACCAGAATTACAAAGGAGTATATTACACAGCAACCAGTACGGCGGTTAAGAGAGCTCATCTAGGACAAAACCGGACTTGGGAGTGCTTCTGGCTTGTCCTGACAATGATAATTACTTCCGTCCGAAGTGTGCCACACAGCAGGTCGGTTTAAGAGAGAATAGTTAGGACACAATCGGATTCATGAGTGTTTCTGGCTTGTACCCACCATGATAAGTACGTACATATGAGGTAGTACCGTCAAAGAGAAAACCGGCTTGTTGGGGGGTATTGGGACAAGCCGACAACACTCTCGTAAAACCGGAGCCACTGCACTACCAACACCAACACCTTGACGACAACAATAGCACTAACCAACATCACCAACAATCATGGCGACGATGACACAACACCAGCATCAATAACGACGGCATGCACTCACCTCTACCATCGACTTCACCAGCCCCAGCGCGCCAACATACGCCGCGTGCATGATGCTAGACGGGGGCGGGTCGGCATCCCCCCCCCCTTCTTCCCGCGAGAAGCTGCCGCTTCTGCTACCCCCGCCAATTTCCACGCCGAACATCGTCACCCGGTGCAGGAGCACCAGCTGCAGCTGAGCTAGATTCGCCTCTTCCTCCTCCTAAGCAGGGTTTCTTCTGCTCTGCTGTAGCCCCTGTGTTGGCTGCTTCAGAGCAACACCGCTCCTCTTTCAACCGTTTCACCAAAGCCCGCTCTCGGCAATGGTCGCCCCTCTCGCCAACAAGCGTGTGCTGGCTGCCCGGAAACGCGCCTCTTTCCTTTGAAACCCCCCACCCCCAAGCCGTGCCGTTTCAAGCTACAATATGTAAGACCTCCCGCTTTCTCGCTTGCTGGCGCGTAGCTTCCGCCTGCTGCCCGACGCAAATCCTTCCTTCCTTTTACAAAGAACTCACTCGCTCTCCCTCTGCGCGCTCGCGCGCGCTACTGCTGCAGCTGCTGCCGCCGGCTCAACGCGATTCCTTCCCCCTCCCCTCGCTAATAACTCCCGCCACTTCTCGCTGTCTCTTGGTGCGGGAGCTACTGCCGTAGCTGCCGCCTGCTGCTCCTCAACGCGAATCCTTTCCCCCCTTCGCGATGACGGGGCTCCTTCCTCTCCTTCTCTGCTTCTAGCAGTTGCCGGTTTAGATAGCAACTCTGGTTCTGGGTCGGCTGCCGGGTGTGTGCGGCGAAGGGAAGGCGAGGGGCGGGCGGGGGGGGCGTACTCTTGTAGTTTTGCATACCTTAGCGGTTGGACCATTCACCACGCGTCCTCGAAAGAACCGGATGTGGAACGGTACAGACTATTGAATGGCACTGAGCAGTACCGGAACGGTTTTCAACCATAAGTGACAACAATAACGACAACGACAACGACTGTGCCGTAACACCTCTAACTTTCTTGGCACAACGCTGAAGGAGCCACGTAGCGTCCAGCAGCATGAAACAGAGAATGTAGGCTGCTGCATTTCGTTTGTTTCATACGAAAAAACTTTCGTTACGAAGCGTGGGTGTTCAAGCATAGGGCAAACAGCACGACAGGGTAGGACTCGGCTTACGGTATGTACAACAGCAGTGTTTTTTTACATGAGAGACATGAAATACGCCTAGCTGCTTAGTCAACGTACTCAAGTTGTATATATGATAAAAAAAAAACTGTTTTGAATGGGACACTTCGATTTTCTTGTGGGGGTATGTGGGGAAGACACGAGCCGGCAAACAAAACATAATTGCAGGACATCGCCAACAGGTAAGTCGCTGGTATGTATTTGGTTCTTCAGTACACGCTGTATCGTTGCCGCCGCTGTTGACGCGTGTGAAATTGGTTCCAACTACAGCAGTCGCGGTCCCGGTTTAGTGGTTCCCTGTTTAGCGGGATGCCCTGAACAGCGATTCCAAAATCTCGTGGCACGGCTGCACCGCGGTAGTCAAGCTACTACTACGCAGATGTTGTTGTTGTTGTTGTTTCTCACATTAGCTCTATAGTCCACATAAAATGGGGAGCCCGTGGTCTCGAAACCCGGCACATACGACGCTGCGGGGAAACAAAACAAAAATAGGGTAAAAATGTTTATAATTGCCTATCCACATTAGCAGCGATGCCCTCAATAGCAGCTATACATAATTTTGTGACACTATGGACCGTGAATAGTCGGAGAGATGGCACCTCCCCTAGACCGGCTTTCACAGCTCGATCGCTCCGCAACCGAGATTGTACCGTACCGTATACCGTTACCGTGGTATTCCGTAAGAGTCGGAGAGATGGCACCCCCGCTAGACCGGCTTTCAAAGCTCGATTGCTGCACAGACAAGGGTGCGTGGAAAGAGCCAGGTGCGTCGACGGACAGCCCCCGACGAGTTGTTTCTAAAAAAACACCAGTTGTATTGGGTTGGCTAGCACAATTTTGGTTCTGGAGCAATCGAGCTTTGAAGACAGGTCTAGCGGTGGGGGGTGCCATCTCACCGCCTCTTTAACGTTCCATGGTAGTGTCATGTTTGTCTGCAAGTGCAAGACAGGGATGGGTGTGCAACTGCAAATACCCAACCACGACCCACAAACGCACAGCAGCAGCACCAGAGGCTGCATAACGTGAGATACCACACCCCTTTGGACCGATTTTCAGACCTCTACTACAGCAGAACATGACGACGACGAGATCGCGCCGACATCCGAATGATACGTAGTCGGAAAAGCTTCCCAACAGGCGGTTCCAACGCCGCCACTTTTCGGCACCGTTACTGTGTTTCCTGCCGATTTATTGATCGGCCTTTGAAAATCGGTCCAGGGGGTGTAATGTCTCATGCAAGCTACTGCATGCATGTACGGTAGTAGCAGCCCGACCGCGCATGGCCGCCACCACAGCAGAAGGAACAGAGCCCAGTAGTGTTTACACATTGATGGTAGATCCTTAGGGCTAATGCGTTCTGATTGGTAGGGCGTTGTTCGGCGTTGGTTCTGGCGGCCGATTCCCTCCAGCGCCCTCACCCCGTTCCGCATTCCGGGCACGCGGCGCAGCCGCGTGACGCCTACTTCGCGGCCGCGAGGCCGTGCTTTGGCCGTGGGTTAGGGCTAGGGTTAGGGCTAGGGTAGATGTGGGGTGAGCAACTTAGCCTTGCTCGCGTGAAGAACCTAGCCTTGCTACGTTCAACATCGGTTAGTCCTAAAAGAGTTACTGTCAAAGTGTAACCAATTGGCTCACAGAGCCGGTCCCCTGTATTACACTTGAATCAACACACAGCGTACGGTAGTAACCGACTGCTACAGGACGACGACACCAAAATCAACAGCAACCACTGCTGTACCCCTCCACTACGTGCTACGCATACGCACACATCGTGCACGATACACAAGGCTTGTGCCAGCCAGGAAGAGCCAACAACATCTCCAACGGGAGAGACGTACGCGCAGGTGGCACGCAAATCATTTGCTGCATGCCTCTTACACGAAGCAGTTTTGTCGTGCATCACAAGACGATGGATGGGAGGCTTCGGAGTGCATACATATTCTACAGATGGCGCCCGCACTAAAGAACACTCCTGTTGAGAACATGGGGCTCAAAAAATCCAAAACTTCAAAACTCAGCCATACGAACAGGTCCTCAGTTCTGACGTGACATAAGAACAAGAACCTGTGTCGAGGTGTCCAAACTCGAGGTCAAGATAAGAACGGGGTCCATTGCAGATCTTCGCTGGAAGACAAGAACTTCGGCGGGTAGCGTCACCCCCCCCGCCCCNTGAGGGAGCTCCAGAAGCTCGCAGCACTCAAAGCAAAGGGCGTGATCCTTGAACGACAGTACGAGGTGATCAAGAAACATGTGAGGGAGGGCAACTCCCTCTCGAGCGATGACTGGGAGGCCTTCGATTTGGCGTGGAACCTGAGGAGCAGCGGCGTGTTGTCGGAAGAAGAGTGGACCACGCAGGTTGATGGAGACATCTCGGGCATCATCAACAGCGGTCGCCTACACTGTCTTCAGACCACGCTGCCGCGTCGTTTGCATCCGGAAAGCGGTCAGCAGCAGCAGCAGCAGCAGCTCCGGCGGCGCGCGGGGCCCCGAATTGAGGAAAGAGACAGCGAGAGGACGCCAGCAAAGGCTCGCTGAACATCTACAACTCGTTCGCTTTTGGCAGCGGGGAACCGGTGAGCCCCTGGAAACTCTGCAAACTCTGCGATGACTGTCGACGGTTCAGGCGATGACCGAATCACCTTGGAGGGTCTGGACAAGCCGTACACCTTCGCGGGCGATGGGGACTCCACCGACGACGAGGGATCTTCCGAGACTAGCAACGATGGGTGCGGGGGTGGGGATGACCAGACGGTTGAGGGCGAGGGGGACCACAGCGGCGAGAGAGTGGAGGACGGCGATTCTAGCGACGAAGACCCTCGTGGTAAGTTGGATGCCCACCAGGGTTTTTCACTCCCCTGCTTGGTTGTCATTGCGTTTCCTGTTGCTGTTGCTTTTGTCCTTACCGTTGCCGTTAAACATATGTTTGCGTAGATGACATATCAGTTTCTACGACATTGTCGTTTGTGCCCGTCGTTGCAGAGACGGCCAGTGGCCAGATGGACGAGCTTAGTCGAGCTTAGTCTTGTGGACGACGACGACAGCATGGAATCGGACGGCGAGATTCACGCCATGGAGATTCCGGATGGGTTTCGCATTCAAGCATCTACACCGGCAGCTCATGACAGTTCATTACTGCAGCGTGGAGTATTCGTTAGGCTGGGCATGGGGTGGTTTGGGGGGGTGATCACTCGACAGTCACAGGAGCGCACTCGCCACCTTTACGACTACCGTGTGCATCTCGACCTAGACCGAAGTACGCACAGCATGAAGCTGCCGTTGGAAATGTACAGAGGAGATCCGGATGCGGTGGNATGACAGTTCATTACTGCAGCGTGGAGTATTCGTTAGGCTGGGCATGGGGTGGTTTGGGGGGGTGATCACTCGACAGTCANTAGTCGAGCTTAGTCTTGTGGACGACGACGACAGCATGGAATCGGACGGCGAGATTCACGCCATGGAGATTCCGGATGGGTTTCGCATTCAAGCATCTACACCGGCAGCTCATGACAGTTCATTACTGCAGCGTGGAGTATTCGTTAGGCTGGGCATGGGGTGGTTTGGGGGGGTGATCACTCGACAGTCACAGGAGCGCACTCGCCACCTTTACGACTACCGTGTGCATCTCGACCTAGACCGAAGTACGCACAGCATGAAGCTGCCGTTGGAAATGTACAGAGGAGATCCGGATGCGGTGGTGGGCGCGTGGATCTTGCTTGAGAGGAGCACGGTCGAGCAGGTGGATTGGGGGCGGAGCTGCAGCCGCGTCGGGCAATAGTGGAGCGGGAAGGGAACGCAGGCCGAACGTGGCCCTTATCGACCAAGAAGGTTGAGGTCTTCGGAGTCTGTTTTCATATTTGTACTCAACCGCGAGCATAGCTGCTGCGGTGCGTGATCCGACGGCCAGTAATCTTGGTGCCTGGTGAATGGACAGAATGGGCATGGTACGGCGAAGTATCGACGTGCTGTATGGGGATAATGCAACGTATCTTTCCGCATGAAATTACACGCCAATTTCCACGTCCTATCGATGCATGTTCATAGCTGCGAGTCACCAAAGGGCGTCCTGGTGCGCCTCTGGAGCACTCGACGGTGAAACAAGAACAAGAACCCCGTTTTCAGCGACCAAATGTCTGATCGGAACAAGAACATGGCCATAAGAACATGTGCTGGGGTCGAGGCAGCCAATAAGCGTCGAGCATCACGCCAAATTTGACGTTCTTAAGTGCGGGCGCCATCTGTAGCGCCTTTACACCGGCACAGCGCAGCAGTCAGTACAACTATCAACCAACAGCTGTGGGGTGGTAATGGTGTGCCATGATCAGCAGCACACAACAGCATACCCCCCCCCCCCCCCCCCCCCCCCCCCCCCCCCCCCCCCCCCCCCCCCCCCNTCCCTCCACTGGCCCAGCCCTCTCTCACACGCTGCTGTTGTTGTTGTTGTTGCTGCTGCTGCTGCTGCTGTAGCAGTGTGCCAAACAACGGCAACGGCAGCAGCAGCGCGCCAGCACAACCAACACGAGCAAGACATTATTTTCCACAACGTGTGAAATGGCAAGGGTTTCCTTCTTTCACCTGCTGGTGTTGCGCATGTGTGTGCAGCAGTGAACTACAGCAGCAGGGTGGTGCAGCCGCGGTAGCTCGCCGAACAACAGCAGCAGCAGCAGTGCGCCAACACAAGCTCAAATCCAACACACGTACAATCCTATTATCTACATAAGGAATTTTTTTCTCCCATCATTGAACTCTGTCGCCTGCCCATCTGGCCCCTATCCTCCACTTCTACCAGCTAGACGACCCAACCGGGATCACATAGGAGGGTGGGGGTTGGACCCCCTCCTGCGGACATATGCACACACAAATCAAATGGCGTATAGAATATGGCGAGTGAATATTATTAGGGATGTGTACAATACAACAATACCGGTAGGTATGGGTGTACTTCTACTCCACAGAGACACGGCATCACCGCAGAGGTACAAATCGATCACCGAACAAGCTCTGTACAGCAGCAGCACCGCCAGCAGCAGCAGCAGCAATGTGCCCTGCAACACAACAAGCACTGCTTTTAACACTGCCACACGCAAAATACAACGCGTGGAATTGGGCGAGAGACGTCATCCTTTCTTTGAACAGCGGTTAACACAACATCATCATCAGCAGCAGCATACAGCATGGTCAACACATCACCCAACAAGTATTTGTCCTTGTCTGGGCAAACGTCTGTCTTATCTTTCGCACAAGAGCTAAGGGGTATTTTGCGTCCGTGTGAACGGACGCACTCCATCGTGCGGGCTCCCGCCTGCTCAGTAACGGCCAGCGCCGGCAGCGGCAAAAAACAACAAACGCCGCCGCTGCTGCCTGCTGTCGTGCTTTGTGTGGACAAGAGTCACAAAACAGAGCCCGAGCCAACAAACGCACGACTGCTGCTGACTGCTGCTGACTCTCTTGCGGTCTCTAAGCGTTTTGCGAACAAACCTAATTATTTTTCTGGCACCCCCCCGCTCAGTTCAGGTTTGGTGGCATCCCATTCGTTACGGGCTGGGGGCAAGCAGCAGCAGCAGCAGCAGCAGCAGCAGCAGCAGCAGCAGCAGCAGCCAGTCGTATGCAAAACAAAATCAAAAGCCAGCTCCACACCGCAGGAGCAGGAGCAGGAGCAGCAGCACCAGCACCAGCAACGAATTTTCCAAACACAACGGAAAACGGGCCGAAAAAGGCGTCCGAAACAACGCGTCCCTACTTTGCAAGGCTCTGGCATCACCCATCACGCAAAAACTCCCACAGCACCAGTAAGGAGGAGCAACATCGCCAACAGGGAGATGGCAACAGCAACTAGGATAAAGAGTTAGGAGGCGGTGTCTTGCTGGGACATATGCACCATGTTATATGTGTGCTCTAGGAGCAGCGTGTTGGTATGTTTTTATGGCGGCGCAGTCCGCAGCCGGAACATCATCTCAAAAAACACAACAATTATAACGACCGGGCTTTAAAATCAAGACAAAACAAAAGACGGGCCGCCCACACAGCACCAGGGGGTATTGAATACGCTGCAGCTGATAATGATGACAGCGGGAAACAGACAAAGTGAGAGACCCACAGGAACAACAACAGACAACAGGAGCGAGAGGCGGCGTGCACACAAGGACTCACCGCTTGCTTGGACGTCCCGAGCGCAGCATCAAGACACCCAACAAGGTAGGTATTTGGGCGACCTCCCCCTTTCCAATAAGCCCAGCCAGCAGGAGACAGCCTGTAGCCTGCACGCCAACCCTCCTCGCGCTGCTCGATATTTTAATCACAAATTTGCCTAAATAAATATTTAGAAAAAAAACAAACTCTGTTGAAAATATGCAAAGCACGCCTTCATGGAACGCCCGTCTCGATTTGTAACCGCCGTATTTTTTTTGTGTTGCAGCATGTGTTGCTTTGTTTGTTCGTCCACGCCCGCACAGCCACCCAAACAGTCGTTGGCACCACGGGGGTTGGGGTATACATTTGTCGGGGGTGTGGAGCTAGGAAATAACTGTTATATGCTCCTCTGGCGCTCTCGACCCCCCCGCCATAGGGCTTGGATAGGACACTCAGACGCTCATCATGGACATCGCACATGCAGCCAATATTTTTTACGTCAAGTTTTGGCACACACAACCAATGTATGCGCGTATGATCTACATAGCCTACACATGTAGTTATAGCCTCCATACCGGTAGTTGTAGCCTTCATACCTGTAGTTGTAGTCGGCACACCCACTTCTCATTTTCACCCAGCAGCGAGGCGCACCGTGCGCTCCCACAACACGCGGCTGCTTCTGCTGCTGTTGCTGCTAGTATTGGTGCAATCACTCGGTCTCGTCTATCCCTAATCATCGTATTTGGGGGAAAACAATGAAATCAATCACCCTCTGTTGGCTTGCTTTCCACAGGCGGCGGATTCAATCCGGAAAAATGCGGCGCATCCGACTGCTGGCTCAATTCTCCCATCCAAAACACCAGCAGCCAGCATCACAGCCTCACACGGCACACAGACAAACAGAACACCATCGAGGGGCGGCTATTCGCCAGCGTCTGAACGACACTACCGCTGTACCGGCGCTACTGTGGCGTCAACAGCTGTACTTCGAGAAGGTGCGTGTGGTGTACTCTGTACCTCTCCGTCCGTTGTCCGTACTCCGAACAACCACGTTTGTTCCAGCGATTTGAGATACAAGACATACCGGTAAAGACGAAAGTTCTTTCACCACACACAGCAATCCCCCGCGTGCTGTATGTAGATGCTTGGCACGGGCGCGCTCGGTGCAGCAGCCACGGGCTTGGGGGGGGAGGTGGGCGCCAGTTCAGCGAGCAAGCCAGTGGCAGCGGCATCCAGGGAGAGAGAGGGTTTTAATTTTCAGCTGGAGCTGCTTGCTGTTTGTGCCCTTGATTGATGAGGCTGGACAGGCGCGGCAGTTTGTTTTGGCAGGCGTGTGCATGCCAGCCGCATGTGTTTGTGAGGCATCTTACAAGTAGCGCCATATGCCCCCCACCCCTACACTTCCCCACGACAACTGGACAATGTGTGCCATAGCTACGGCATGCTGGGCGTTGTTCCTACAAGTACTTGGATGCACTTGCTGATGGCACTGCTGTAGCAAGCTGATGGCAACATTGCTGCTGTGATACCGGCAGGTCAGGTGTATGCGGTGTATGTGGATCTCTCGGGGGCGTTCGGCTGCTCCAATCGTATCCAACGGATAGAAACAAAGGTGCCCTACGGCAGTTGTAGCGATTTAGCTGTTCGATGGGGAATGTGCTGGCTATTCGGTCACTACCAACATATCGCCGGTAAGAGGGGCGGCTATTTGTCGGAGTGCAGTGGTGTGATCATGTTCGATGCCGTGGTCGCCAACACACAGGGCATTGCGCTGCATTGGTACAGCAGTATAGTCTAGACGAGTAGACGATTACCGATGTCGGAAGCCTGAGACGCGAGAGTTCAACCATCGTTGCAATGTAAAAGCAAGACGTTTTTTCTCGGTACATCAGTTCGCGGTCGCCTGGAGACTTTTGTTTTCGCCGGCTGTTGCCCGCTGTTGCGGGCGAGACTCTGGATCACAGCGCCCCTGCCGCGAGCTCCAAACTCCAAAGGCGAGTAGAGTGACACCACGGTGAACGCACTTAACCACTACTTCAGTCAGTACCCGTTCGAGATGTTACCTCAGTCGAAAGGTATGTGGTGAAGTATTTTGTGGATTGAAACCAACTGGAGACTTGGCTTATTTTGGGGGTGTGTAAGCCTACCACTGAGTTATCAGTAGTGCCAGTTGGAGCTAAGAACAACAGCATCTGTCAAGGCGGATACATTCCTCATTTCATGTGGAATGTGGCCCTCACAGGGAACATGGCGCAGTGTCGTTTGACAACTTGCTGTTTTTAGTAAACTTCGCTGCTGCGTTAGGCGACTTGAATGTAGACTACAGTATGTACAGCTGCAGGACTGTTTTACATGTACACGCACCACAACTCATTCTATTTTCTATTTTGTTTTATTTTTGTAGGCCACAGCTCGTTTATCTACAGAAATTTCGCTTGTGCTTTGAGTTTTCTAAGGGCATTTGTTACGATGTCTTTTTTTAGGCTTTTTTTAGGCTGTCTTTTTTTCGAAAAATGACAACTGGCCAAATGGCCCCGTGTAATAGGCTGTCGAATAAGGTTCGTTGTCATATTTTAGCAAGAAAAGACGTTTTAACACGGGGCTATTTGGCCAGTTGTCATTTTCGAAAAAAAGACAGCCTAAAAAAAGCCAAAAAAAAGACATCGTAACAAATGGACTAACATCACATGCATTGCATGCACATCGTAAACTGGAAGATAAGCAAGTTTGTTTTCGTCTTCTTGTGTAATGCTGTCGACGACACGCGGTAGCATTGAAGGTGCTGCTGTAGCCTCTACACTATACAGTGCCATATGAAGGTGAACGTCTTTTCCAGCTTCGTGCCCTTGGTATGCTGTGCACCGTGCACAGTCTTCACACACCACCCTTCATCCTTTCAGCGTAATACAGAGCTGAAGGTGAGGGCGCCTGGCGCCCGAGCCTGGAGACCTTATAATACTACTGCTGTAGTAAACAATGCACAATACACAGGTTCGCTCCTTTGTCACACCGACCGGCCGACTATTTGTCTGCCAAAACCGCTCGCGCCCGCCCAGTAAGGAAGACTCGCAGCGCCGACAATGGCGGCGTTGAAGCCGCCTGGTCGAGAGCTATCCGAAGACGTATTGTTTCGTGTGTGCATCCTCTTGGTCGCCGAGTAATCGACCTTTGAAAATGGGTCCGGGGGGTATGTCATCTCGTGTGTGTCGTATTCGGTACACAGGCCCACTGCCACATCGCCCGCTCAGTAAGAAAGAGCCAATGCACTAAATAGTACGTCACTCTTGCTGGGTAACCAAGACCTCTTGGTCCCTACTGCTGCAGTATTAAGTAGTTAGATTGTGCACACATCCTCTTGTTTCTATTTGTTGTGCCGTCGTATGGATATGTACCCGTCCGCGATATGTCTATAGCCCTAAATAATAGTAGCCCGCACGCATTCCTTTACTATGGTGATGATGTAATGATGCGCAACATCTGTCCGCACTATACATTGCATGCTGTTGTTGTTGTTGTTGTTGTTGGTGTTGTTGTTTTCACATTAGAAACCGTTCCGGTCTCCGCTCGGTACCTTCGGATGCCCGTGCTCGTCCACCTGACGCGGACGACGCCTTCCGTAGTCACAAGCCAACTGCCCCCGCAGGGGGGTACACCTTTCTAGAAATAAACTTTTTTTCATGTACGCATGTACGTCGGTACGTGTACCCACGACTGACTGACTTTAAAACGGTTGTATTTTTGAGGAGGTACTGCTGTACCACAGAACCCGCGACTTACGCCTAAGATACCATTCACACCCCCTGGGCCGGTTTCCAATGCTTGATTCAATTCTCTGCGGCAACAATCGCATTGGAACCGTCATGTCGAGAGAGCTTTCTGAATAAATTAAGCCCAGCTTCCAGCCGGTTTCCCTCCACTAACAATTAAAAGACTTCTCAGCAGGACCGCCTACGCAGGATTCGTCTATAAGAGTATCTAGAAAAAGAAGAGGGATGGGGCACGTAGACCCTATCCCTAACCCTAACCCTAACCCCAAAGCACGGATTGAATACCGTATCCCATATGCTTGCTTCATCATTTTTGCTGCGTTGACTACTGGGGCGTCTCAGCACGTCCCTTTCGGCTGCGGTGGTCATACCTCGAACGGGTATAATAGTCTTTCTGTGAGATAATGTACTACTTCATAAAGTTTCTGAACGTGGTATCATCTGATTCTGTCATACTCTTCGTCGTGGAGTAATCAGGACTTGAATTTCGGTCCAGGAGGGGGGGGTGGTGTCTTGCGGTCAAGATATATATTACATATGTATACAGAGCGTGGAGGCCACTGTCCGTCAACGGCGCCTGCTCTTTGCGGGGGCCGTGGCAAGACAGCCAGACGGGCGGCTTCCGAAACGGCTGATGTTCGGCGAGTTGGTGGGAGGGGAGAACCCGGGCCGGGGAAGCCCGGAGCAGAACTGGCTGATATGCCTGAGGACGACCTGAAGATGTTCGAAGCCAGACACGGCTCCACGCCCGACAAGCGGAGCTTCTTCGGAATCCCGAAGCCAGACTGGGACGAGGCGGCGAAGGTGGAGGGGGGGGTACCGTGGCACGCGGGGGTGCTACAGGGAGCTGAGAGGTTTATGGCCTCTTGGCACAAGGGCGAGGAGAAGGCCAGCCGACAACAAGCCATCAAACGAGGAGACAGCGAGCCCAAAAATAGTCTAGATACGGCACCAATCAACGGGGCGGGAGGGGGGCGGGAGGAAACGGCGCGGGAAGAAAGCAAGCGAGAAGAGACCGACCGCGTGACGTGACATGTTGCGGTTGAATTTCAGCGACTAGTTTTTCTGTTGCCCTCTCCCCCGTTTGCTGTCGCGTTCAGACTGTCTCTACGGATATCCCTGTCTCTGTGCGAGTTTGTTTATGTCCTCGTCTGTCTTTGGTTTATTTCGTTTTTGTTTTGTTTTTTTTGTGGCACGTACTGTTGACCCTTGGGGTCCTTCCGGAAGGCTACCCCCCAGGCTGGTGGTGCGCACGTTCCACTATTTATTTATTTATTTATTTGTTTCTGATTTTTTTGTTTTCTTGTATTTTATCGCTCTGCTAACCCTTGGGGTCCATTTTATTTCGGTATACCTTTTCTAGGTACGTTAGCCTGTGACCACGGAAATTGACCGAGTCAAGTGCTGGATTAGTACGGAGAGATTGAAACAGAAGGAGGTACTGGATAGAGAGACCGGGATGGTTTTTAATGTGAAGACAACAACAA